AGGGGCTGGCAGCATCGTGGGGTGCCTGGTGGGTCGTGTCCCTGCAAGAGCTGGGGCTTGCAGCCCTGTTTCCCTCTTTAGCTGTGTTCAGCCTTTTGTGAGTCTCTGTTGTCAGCTGGGCTGGCCGGCTCATGGGAAGGGAGGGTCCCCCTGTGGTCTCAGGTTGGGGAGCATGTCAGCAGTGCACTCTGCTGTGCCTCTGGCCCCGGCATAGTGGCAGCTGGTGCTACTGAGGTTATGTCTTGCATGTGTGGTTGAAGCCTGGGAGCAGTTCCTGCAGAGGAACCGAGGTTGGTGCTATTGCGGGGGATGGGGAGGGTGCAGGTCGAGGTGGGGTGCAGTGCCCTGAGGCCAGACGTTCTCTCCCTCCTGCAGGACCCGGTACATCAGCACAGAGCTGGGGATGCGGCAGCGACTCTTTGTGGGTGTGCTGACCACCAAGAGCACACTGAACACGCTGGGGGTGGCTGTTAACCGCACGCTGGCCCACCGCTTGGAGCGCCTGGTCTACTTCACAGGCACGCGGGGCCGCAAGGTGCCCCACGGCATGTCGGTGGTGACGCACAGTGACGAGCGGCCCATCTGGAACATGTACCAGACCGTCAGGTACCTTCTGGACCACTATGTGAATGACTTCGACTGGTTCTTCCTGGTGCAGGACGATACCTACACAGAAGCACACCGCATCAGCCGCCTGGTCTCCCACCTCAGCATTGACACACACCTATACCTGGGCCGTCCTGAGGAGTTCATCGGTGGGGACACTGAGGGACGCTACTGCTACGGAGGGTTTGGCTACCTGCTGTCCCGCAGCCTCCTCCTGCTCCTGCAGCAGCACCTGGAGAGCTGCCGCAATGACATCCTCAGTGCCCGGCCCGACGAGTGGCTGGGGCGAGACTACACAGGCATCAACTGTGCCGACGAGCACGAGGTAGGTCTTGTGGCAAAGATGGCTTCCAAGAGCCTGATCCCGGCCCAGTGTGTTTCCCCGTCTCCCAGGTCCTGGGGGAACCAGCCCTTGCACCCTGTCATCCTTTGAGCTTGCTGTGCTGGCAGCCGGTGGGCTGGCCGTGACCCGTCTCTCTTGGCTGGTGCAGGGCTTGCGTTACCAGTATTTTGAGCTGGGGAAGAACGTGGACCCTGAGCGGGAGACTGACCTCCGTTTCCAGAGCGCCTTCACCGTCCACCCTGTGCTGGATCCCCTCCAGATGTACCGGCTGCACAAGTACTTCGCGCAGGTGGAGCTTGAGAGGACCTATGAGGAGATCCAGCAGCTCCAGGTGAGACCTGGCTTAACTGGGAGGGTCTGGGCTCCTCCTGTCATCCCTGTGGGCTTTCTGGTCACTCTGTGTCACCTCTCTGCTCTACTATGAGGCTTTCTCACCTGAAGCTGCTGTGGGGTGGGATCAGCTGAGCCTGTGTGGCTGCAGGAGCAGCAGTGCTGGCTGGAGAGCAACTTTGAACCTAGATGGGTCCTTGAGCTGTGGTGGAGGTTCAGGGTGATGAAGCCAACAGGGTGCTGAGGTCTGCCAGCAAAGGCTGGGCAGCGTGGGAGAGGGCACAGATCCTGCCAATGGAGGTGGCATGCCATATTTGGGGTGCTGTTCGGAGGAAACCTGGGGTGCTGGGCAGGAGTCAGGCTGAGGGCAGAGTTCTTCTGGCACTGCACTTTGGTCCGGGAGTGGCTGTTATCTGGGTATCAGGAGTCATTATCTGGGTATCAGGAGTCAGCTTGCCTGCAGCCAGACCTGGAAGACCTACTTGCTCCCGCCTTGGCTCTCACTTCTCCATCTCTCGTCTTGCAGCTGGAGATCCAGAATGCCAGCAGACTGTCCGCTGATGGGGACCACAGCGCCACGTGGCCTGTTGGCATCCCGCCCCCCTTCCAGCCCAAAACCCGCTTCGAGGTGCTGCGCTGGGACTACTTCACGGAGGAGCAGGTCTACGCTTGCGTGGACGGCTCCCCCAAGTGCGAGCTGCGTGGCGCAGATCTGGCGGACGTG